CATCTATCTATCTATCTATCTATCTATCTATCTATCTATCTATCTATCTATCTATCTATCTATCTATCTATCTATCTACCTATCTATTGTATCTACTATATCTATCTTGCTATCTATCTATCTATCTATCTATCTATCTATCTATCTATCTGTCTACCTTCTATCTATCGTATCTGTCGTATCTATCTATCGTACCTATCTATCTATCTATCTATCTATCTATCTATCATCTATCTATCTATCTATCTATCTATCTATCTATCTATCTATCTACCTATCTATTGTATCTACTATATCTATCTTGCTATCTATCTATCTATCTATCTATCTATCTATCTATCTATCTATCTGTCTACCTTCTATCTATCGTATCTGTCGTATCTATCTATCGTACCTATCTATCTATCTATCTATCTATCTATCTATCATCTATCTATCTATCTATCTATCTCTCTATCTATCTATCTATCTACCTATCTATTGTATCTACTATATCTATCTTGCTATCTATCTATCTATCTATCTATCTATCTATCTATCTATCTATCTATCTATCGTATCTACTATATCTATCTATTTATCTATCTAACTATCTATCTATCTATCTGTCTATCTTCTATCTATCGTATCTGTCGTATCTATCTATCGTACCTATCTATCTATCTATCTATCTATCTATCTATCTATCTATCTATCTATCTATCTATCTATCTATCTACCTACCTACCTACCTACCTACCTACCTACCTTTCTATCTACCTATCTACCTACCTATCTATCTATCTATCTAAAAGCCTGCCACTCGGATCCCCTTCTCTATGGCTCGCTTGGGAGGAGCCCATCAAACCCGCAACCGATCTCTCTGCAGAAGACGCCGAGCGGTCGGGATCGAGCACCGCAGCAGCACGAGACCGACCCCGCTCGCTCGGCTTCCGCACCGTCTGGAGGCGCGAACGTGTGTGAGAGAGAGAGAGAGAGGAGGGGGGGTGGAGATGGGCGGGGCGAAAAAGGGGGAGTGGCTGTAGCAGCATTTCCATGGCGACGGTGACGTCACCTCACCCTGGATCTAATTGGAGGAAACCCCGTGCCTTTTAGCTGCGGCGGCCCACGGGCCAACCGAACTTGTGCCCTCCTTCCGCCCGCCTTCGCGACGGCTCTCCGGGACGCCGGATTGGCCTCGCGGGCGCGGGAGGCGGAGCCGAGGGCCCCGGGGGCGCCCTCTGATAGGCGCAAGCCGCGCGAGCGCGGGCCTAGCAGGGGAGAGGGCTCGCTTTGTGCCAACGCCCTTCTAGTCAACGCTGCTTCTCTCGCCTGAAAAACGGAGCTGCCCTTTTTTTTTCTCTCCCCCCCTTCTTCTTCTCTTCCCTCTCTTCCTCTTCCTTCCCCGCCTCGCCACCACCAGCGCGGCCCCGGAGCGTTAAGCGAGCGCAAGCCCGACCCAAGCAGGGCGCCAGCCGGCCGGCCTAGCGCTTCAGCGGACAGCGAGGTGAGGGGAAGCGGGGGGGGGGCTCGGGCCCGGGGGAAGAGCGGGGAACGTCCTCGCCTCAGAGGCGCCTTTCCTGCTTTCGCGAAATCTCTGCCGCGTCGTCCATTTTGTGGAGGGCGGCGCGGGGCCCGGGAGGGCAAGCCGGGCGTCTCCCAGGCGCAAGGAGAAGGAGAAGGAGAGAGAGCGGGGGGGAGACGCCGCCATTTCGTATCGGCGGTTTTTCCGTGAGGCGGCGGGAGAAGGGACGGCATGGGGGAGGTGACGAGGCGGCGCCCTTTTTACCTCACCGCCTCGGGCTTGGCCTCTTCTGAGGGGACAAAGGCCCTTCCCGGGGAGGAAAAAGACGCTCCGCTGCGGGTTCCTTTCCTTCCCCACCACGTTTTTTCCTTCCCTGCCGGCCTTTACGGCCCTACGCTTTCCGTCGCGGCCTTCCGAGGCCGGGCGGAGGAGCCTTTTGTGCCCTTGGCTTCCGCCTCCCCCGCCCCCCTCCTCCCCGTTCTCCTCCTTCGGGCTATTCGGTATCCCGGCCTTCGCCAAGCTGGCGCCCTCGGGGACTCTTGGATATATATATATATATATTTTTATGGCCGCTTCACCTCGCGGGCGGCGGCGGCGGCACCTACCGCTGGGTGGCGGGGGCTGGATCGGAGTATTTGCAGCCTTGGAAAGATCGTCTGGAGGAGGGGAGGGAGGGTGCCAGTCTGCCGAGCGGTTCCGTAATCTCTCCTCGGCTCCAGAGTCCGAACCGCCCCGTTCCTCCTTCGTTCCTCCGACTCATTAGATCGTCGCCCGGGCGATCCTGCTGCTCCCTCCCCCGGCTTTAGAGTCCTTAAATCGCGCTTATTCGGGGTTTCCCTCTGGACGTTTCCCCATAAAACGACACTATAAAGGCTTATTTAGGGATTTGGGGTGGGGGGGGAGAGAGAAGGAACCTTGTGGGGAAGAATTTGCAGGTAGTTTGAGTGTGTCAAACTATAAGGAGTCTTTTATTTCTGACCACCATTTCGGGTGTCTCGTTCATACGACCCTCATTATCTTTGGAATAAGGGGAGCAAACAATCGTTATTTTATTTTATTTTGCTTTTGTCTCTCTGTTATTTTCTGGTAGACAAAAGGCATTTTTTTCCCCCTTGCTAGATTGGGGTTGTTTGCAAGCTGGAAATTTTAAGTGGTTTATTTCCTACTTCGTCTCATTAAACCCATTGCCTTTCCTCTATTGGTCTGACTTTTTAAATTCTAAATCCTTGATAAATGTTATCTTTTTATGTACATGTCAAATTCCTTGTGCCTCCAATCACATTTGGCCAATAAAAAAAAATCTATTCTATTCTAAATCCATGTTGGGTATATTGTACTTAACATTAAGGGTTTTGTTTTCCCCCCCCTAAGGAAAAAAACCCCACAGACTTAAGGGTGTTTCTTTGATCTTTTCAGGTTTTGAACAACCGTACTTCGATACAGGTCATCTTTCCTCCTGAATCAGTTGCCTTACCGCTCAGGCCACTGCAGTCTTAACATGGAAAAGACCGAGATGATCCAGAAAGCCAAGCTGGCTGAGCAGGCAGAGCGCTATGATGATATGGCAACCTGCATGAAGGCAGTGACAGAGCAAGGTGCTGAATTATCCAATGAGGAACGCAACCTTCTCTCCGTAGCCTATAAGAATGTCGTTGGGGGGCGGCGCTCTGCTTGGCGGGTGATCTCCAGCATTGAACAGAAAACGGATGGCAATGATAAGAAAATGCAACTGGTCAAGGATTATCGAGAGAAAGTAGAATCCGAGCTTAAGTCCATCTGTACTACCGTTTTGGTGAGTTGGCTATGGTCATTTTGGTTTCAAATTTCATGTGAATAAAATTTTAATTAGATTAGAGGCTGATGTCTGGTGGAAGAATGAATTGCATTTGTCTGGGATACTCATAAAAATTGTAGCATAAATCTAAGAATTTGATGACCAAAGTACTGTTAAACACAGAAATAGGTTTTCACTGAGGAGTCTTTCGATTCTGAAAAGTTACTGTAGGAAAAGCATTGATTAAATTATACTTAAGTCATCCTATTCACAATTAAGATCCTGATAATATGTAGCAGAATAAAGAAAGGGGTTTCTTTTGATAAATTTGAAAATGAACCAGCTGTTTTATTCTTGCAGATAACATTTCTTATATCTAGAATTGAGTGAATATGGAAACATTAATGCTAAGCATAGTAGAAAGAACTGATAAAAAAAAGATTTATACTTTCTCAAACTGACCAAAATAACTTGATATTCTGTAGCTAGTGTATTTGTGACTAACTAAGCACTTTGATAAATTGTAATAGAGATGAATCAGATAAATCACTTTAAGATATTTAAATAGTGTATAAGTTTTAACCTGCTTGTATAGCAATTAACTAGAGCCAGTTTGGTGCAGTGGATTAAAGTGCCAGGTTAAAAACCAGAATATTTTGTTGTAGTCTAGTCTTAGGCATGGAAGCCTCCTGAGTGACTTTGGGCTAGTCACTTTTTCTCAGCCCTAGGAAAGTGGTAATGGCAAACCACTTCCAAAAATATTGCCAAGAAGATTACATGGACCTGTCAGGACAGTTAACAGACTGACTTGGAGGCACACCCACACATAAAGTAGTAAGTGCTTTGGTTAATCCTGGGCAAACTGAATATTTTTGAGAGACGAACAGTTTTACCTAAACTTCCCATAATTTGGGTGTGATTTGTTCTTGAAATTCTATTAAATCTATTTTGTTTGTCCTACCTTTTAATTGTGCTCCTACCTCAATGTGGTAAAAAAAATTGTACTACTAGTTTTTAGTGACAGTGTCAAAGGGTTCTTGGAAGTTGATATTCTTTGTNGGGGGGCAATATGCTGACTCTGTCAACCGCTTAGAGAGGGCTGAAAGCCCTATGAAGCGGTATATAAGTCTAACTGCTATTACCTGAAAAGTATCTGCCTTGGATAGCATTGTACTTTGATGTGTAGTTTGGATGCTAAATATCGGTGTACCGTATAAAATAAAGAAAAAGAATTAATACTCTTCCCATGGACTATATTCAAGAGGCAATTAGCTGGCAGTTCACCAGTACTCTCCCAGCTATGTTGAGTAATCTCTCAGGCATGTTCCAACACAAAGCCAAAAAATAGTGAGAACTATTAATAGGCTAAAGGACCTTCTGAATACATTTTTAATAGGCGGGGGGGGGGCCCTCTTAAACGTAAGTCAGGTCACCCTCAATTTCTGTGATTGTGTCCTTCCTTTTCCTTGGCAGAGTTACAGAAGTTATCTCCCCTTGCCTTTAAAAAAAAAAGATTCCTTTTTTCCAGGTCCAAATCAGTATAAATTTCCTCGGTGGCATAGTGGTTAGAGTGCAGTATTGCAGGCTGTTTCTGCTGCCTGCCAGCTGCCTGCAATTTTGGCAGTTCAAATTTCACCAGGCTCAAGGTTGACTCGGCCTTCCATCCTTCCAAGGTGGGTAAAATGAGGACCCAGATTGTTGGAGGGGGGGGAGCAATAGGCTGACCCTGTAAACTGCTTAGAGGGCTGTAAAAGCATTGTGAAGTGGTATCTAAGTGTAAGTGCTAGTGCTATAAATTTCAGGGTCAGCTAGGTACTCCTTTCTGACAAGATGGACATCGAAGCCGGGTGGCCTCATCTTTTGTCAAATATGCCAAAATAAGAAGTGATCATCATTTTATTTTAATGCAGAGGCTCAATTCTCTGAGAATTGAGAGAAGAAGGGGGGGGGGGGGAGAAGGTCTGCAGAATGCAAAAACTTTTTTAAAAAAAATTTGCCTCCCCAAAATCTTATACACTGGAAAATACGGTATGCGGGATATTTCTTTTAACTCCCTTCAATTAGTAACATAAACACAATGTTTTGGGGGAGGTAAAGACTCTAGTATTGGTAGGTAGCAAATTCTTTTTTGCACAAATAACCGTATGGCCATCCTGCAACAGAATTCTCGCTTATAAGAGTTATTGGGAAACATTCCTCTGCAATATCGTCAGCTATGTTTGCACAACTTTCTAACCCATGGTTTACTGAGTTATTTCAACGGCTCGTTTTTATACAACACACTGAATCACAAACTAATCACGGTTAATAAGTCTGCATCAGGTCTGATTAAAAAATTATTTTAAAATCAAAATGTCAAAGTGCTTTTAAATTTGAATAATTTCCTTAAAATGTCAATGAGAATAACTACCATAGTTATTCTCATTTTCATTGACATTTTAAGTACAGGGAAGTGCGCGACTTACGACCTTAACCTAGCCCAAAATTTCTGTTGGGTGAATCACTGCAGCTGCTTATGTTAATTAGCAACACGGTTGTTAAGTGAAACTGGTTTGATTTTCGTTGGCAGGTCACTAAAGGGGATCACATGACCCCAGGATACTGCAACCATCATAAATATGATCTAGTACAGTGTTTCTCAACCTGTGCAACTTGAAGATGTCTGGACTTCAACTCCCAGAATTCCCCAGCCAGCGAANGTATTGATTTTAAGGAAGCCCACCTTGTATTAGTTTTCATGTTCAAATCCCTGGCATTTCAGTTTGCCTGTTGTTACCATTCTTGTCTTTTACCCCTGCAAATTAAGTCAACTATGTTCTGTTTGCTCTCTTCCTACCCAGAACTAGATGCTTTGGCCTGATCTATCCTTCTCTGGCCATTTAGAGAGGGAGGGAGAAAAAACAATGCTGGGAGAAATTTTGGAAAAATAACACTGTTCCACCCACCTTTATAATCGTCACTCTAGCAATATTCTTCAGAAACTCTTATTTTTGTATTGTGAACACAGGGGAGTCACTTATTAATTAAATTAGAAAGCAAAGTAATGTAGATCTTACACAGTATTGCACAATTAGCAGGATAGCCCTAGAACATTCCTTTTATTAAAGGCTTTTTGTTAACCAAAGTGCAACTGTACCCAGTTACAACATAGTACAGTAGTTTAAATGTTTTTAATGTGATTGTGTAATTGAATGTGATACCCTTTTATGGTGGTAAAATTTTATCTGAATCCAGGCAAGGTGATACATGACCAAATAGTCACTTTTGTGTTCATTTTTATTGTGATAGGAACTGCTGGACAAATACTTAATAGCTAATGCAACTAATCCAGAGAGCAAGGTCTTTTATCTGAAGATGAAAGGAGACTATTTCCGTTATCTTGCAGAAGTTGCAAGTGGAGACGACAGGAAACGTGAGTCCCGTGTTCATTTAAATCTCTAGTTTTCAGTTAGAACAAAGGTGTATGAACCCACTATAAAAGGCAGGGGCATTATTATGTATGTGCCCTGCTTCTGTGGATAATAGTAGTCCTAGCTCATTTTTTAGGCCGCTTTCACTTATTTTTCCTTTTTCTTCACAGAAACAATAGAAAATTCACAGGCAGCTTATCAAGAAGCATTTGACATCAGCAAGAAAGAGATGCAACCTACACATCCAATTCGTTTGGGTCTAGCGCTTAACTTCTCAGTGTTTTATTATGAGATCCTCAACAATCCAGAGTTGGCCTGCACATTGGCCAAGACAGTAAGTTGTTTTGTGTGTGTGCGTTTGTAGTCCCGGTCTGCTTATTTTCTTGAATGAGAATTGCATGTAGAGAACATAGTTCTTGTAAAATATAGCCTAGAGTAATGCATCTTTTCCCATGATTTGCTGTTACGTGTTAAAACAGAGACCCGTTAACGGTGAAGTATACAAAAGGGCACTTAATTATTCTTCAAAGTTTTTCATTTAGTGATTTCAGGATGCAGTTGCCTCTATATAAGATTACATCTTTGCCTTCATTGATCACAGTGAAACTTAATTGGAGGGAACAGTGGTTAGGACTGATTGCTCTCTTTTGCCTTGTTATCTAAAGTATGTCTAAAGTCTAGATGAAAACATTGTGGCTAACTATTCCCCCCCCCCCTTTTTTTTTTTGCTTGAAAGCTTCATCAAACAGGTTTTGTATTAATAATTATTAGTTCCTAAATATTCAGAGCAGTTTTTATTAAAGAAATAAGATACACATATGAAGAAAGCTTATGTAGCCTTCTAACTGAATGTTTACTTTGGGGAGATCTTCTTGAAATGAGTTAAGGTTGGTCTTTGTGTCTCTTACAGGCTTTTGATGAAGCCATTGCTGAACTTGATACACTGAATGAAGACTCATACAAAGATAGCACACTCATCATGCAGTTGCTTAGAGACAACCTCACAGTAAGCTATGCCTTTTTATTTTCTCAGAATAACTGTGTTTAAAATCTTAAGTTTGCAATTCTTTATTGTGAATCTTTGGGAAATACCTTTAGGAATAATAGTTGCCAGCCAAGGCTGTTGGTTATAGGAATAAAAGTAGACATACATTCTTGATATTGTCTTCCTAAGACTATTTTCCTTGGCTAAACTTAAATAGAAATGTTCAATATAAGACATATATTATACAAGTAATGTTAACAGTTTCACATGATGCAGGTAAAACTATTTAAAGGAGTATGAATTCATCATTTAAAGAGCCAGCTATCTTTGCTATTACTTATTTGACATTTAGAAGATTTCAATATATATGGGGAGGGGGAAGGAAGGAGTCAGGTTGTTCCGGTAGCTATTCAAGGCTGAAAGGCAGAATGAGCGTATGTTTAAACTGAATGTGCTGTACTTCAGTCTGGTTGTTTTGTCTTTCTAGTTATGGACATCAGACAGCGCAGGAGAAGAATGTGATGCTGCGGAAGGTGCAGAAAATTAAGCTGCACCTGGAGTGTCATTCTCCTCCTCAAGAAATCTTTTTACACGTCTCATTCCTTATAGCTCCACTTGGATTTCCTATAGCAAAGAGAACCCATCCATATGTATGGAAATCAATTTATAGTCTTTTCACACTGCAGCTTTGGGAAAAATCCATTCCTTGATTTGTGTTTGTCTTGGCCTTCCTGGTGTGCGGTTACTGCTGTAGAAAAGTATTAATACTGGCTTAAATTTCATATAAACAAATAATTTCCAAACACTTAAGTAGCAGACTAAAGTTATTTGGTATTTTTTTAAAGAATCTGAACCAGGTCCTTCAAGCAATTGTTTTGGTATTACAAAAAAGACACACATGTTTGGGTAATGCAACTAAAGAGTTTTGTGCAGTACAATTCTTCACATTCCCTTATTATTCAGGGGTTACTTGGTTTGATTTTTACATGCTATTGTTAATTCCTTTCTGTAGGATCTGGGAATATTGGGCTACATAGAAAGCATAGTAGTGTGGCTTCCTACATATGTGTACAGCAGGAGCTATTGAGTGTTTAAATACAGGGACTCTTCTTACTCTTCAGTTGCTGCTGTCCAATTGCTATCCCCTCCCAATAAAATATCACACTCCTGCCTTTGTAGTTCTGGTATTCACTTGATTATGTCTTAGAAGCAGCATGTTACTGCCAGAAAACAGGGAGTGCCTTTTTGGCAGACTAAATTGCATGTCATTTCTTAACACTGGAATGGGGGAAGTGGTCACATGTCCAAGTATAAAACTTTTCCATGCAGATTTGTGCACATGTATGAAGGTGTCAAGTTCGTCCAGTGATTTGTTCTGTAGGTAGATGGACCACTATTGTGTGTTGCTAATCATTGATTGTAGTCCCAAAAAAGCCTTGTGAAAATGTTAATGCCCTATGTAACAAAATAACATTAAATAAAATTACATTTTATAAACCATAAAATGTTGCTTTGTAACATTTGCATGCAGCTTCTCTAAAAAATACAGTTGTTTATTTAACAAGCTGGACTGCTGAATTGAAAGTAAAAACAAATTACCTATACTATATTCTTTTCATAAACTCTGGGGACGAAACAATTCAACAGTCCCTAAATTCAATGATCTCAACCTTTGTTCATCTCAATATTTTGAGAACGTTCTTAGGAATATTTGTTGTTTTCCATTACCCTGTTGCTTATTTCAAACATTTTTATAGCCATTCATGTTGCAATCTGTTCTGAATGGCTCCCAAACGAAAGTTGAAAAAGCATGCAAAGCCACATTAAAACAAAACCTGACACCAAGTGAAGCTTATGATGTGCAGTCACCTAACATTACCTTAGCGCTTGGGAAAAGAAAAACCAGGCCTCGAGAGCTTTACGGAAGGCCTGGAGGGGAGAGGCCTGGCCTAACGTCAGTGGTGCAGAGTGTTCCATAAGGCAGGGGCTACCATGGAAAAAGCATGCTTGCTAGCTCCCACCAGATAGCAATATATAAGGGAAGAAACCAGCAACATGCTGATCCTATCAGGACAGTTAGATGCCTGCATATCACCTGGCCCTGTGCCTTATAGGGCTTTAAAGGTGAAGACCACCTTAAATTGCAACCTAGGAAAAAAATCTGGAAGCTCAGTTCAAAACAACAGAGGTCTTAAATGGGCAGATCAAGGGTTTTCCATTACTTGCGGGCTGCTGCCTTCTGGACCAGTTGACTTTCTGGACAGTCCAGAAGAAGGCATTACAGTAATCCAAACCGGAAGAGACCAAGACATGAGTGACCATGAGCAAGGCTCCCTGGTCCAGAGAAAGGTACAATTGGNTATTCATTTTTATTTTATTGACATGTAAGTTCCATTAAAGTATCTAATTTCTAACTTGGTGGTCTGATTGATAGAATTCAATCAGTCAACACAAATGCTTTTCTCCTTAAATGTGCAAAAGTGCTTCTGTGATCCTGTTCAGTATATATTGTTTGTAATGCACGTGTAATTTTGTGGCAGCAACAAAAATGCATGCTGTTGACACTTGCTCCAAAATGACTCCCCCCCCCCAAAAAAAAATACCCCAGCATTTCACACCATGTAGGAGAACATTTCAGAAATAAGTTTATTTTAAAAATAGTTTGATTATGGTATTTAATCTGCTTTAGAAAGAAAATGGAAAGTTCACAGGGAAAGTTCTTGCTCCTGGGTGTATCTGTTGAAGCTTTCTGAATCCTAGCCAATCCTTAGTCATCTCTGTTATGTGCCATTAACTTATTTAACACAAGCACGCTTCTATTTTTTTTTCCAGCTTGAAATAACTAGCTTATCTGACATTTTTAATCATTACATCATTTTGGGGAATATAAAAGTCTGACACAAATGTTTTGCCACTGTTTTCTTCTAGGATACTTTTAAAATTCCCATTATGTAGTGTATATATATAATGGGGATTTAAATCCTGAAATTTCCTGATGGTCTTCCATTCAAATTCTATCCAATTGATTCCACTTACCGGGTTAAATCAGTCAGGATCAGCTAAGTACTACTTAGCTGGATTTGTATAAACTGCTTAGGAAGTCTAAACCTTAGAAAAGAAGTCATTCACACTAATGTACTTAGTCTATCTTTGCCTAATGACAGATTACAATTATAGTTAGCAACACATTTTGTACACGTCATATAGGATTGTTCAGGTTTGTAGAACATATCAAGTAACATAATTCAGTTCAATATAATCTGTTTTAAATGTTCATGTATTTAAACAAAATTAATGAATCTTACAGTGATGGGATGGGATGGAATGAAATAGAATCGAGTAGAATTGAATTCTTTATTGGCCAAGAGGAAATGGACACACAAGGATTTTGTCTATAAATTTGTCTACAAATTTAATTTGTAAAACCATTCCAAAAAAGAAATTGTAGCTTATAACCATTATGGATAACTTTGCTTATCATGCTCAGATCCTATAAATATTTAGTTTTGAGATACAATACACATAGGAATGCTTTGTTCTTTGATACCATCATGAACTTTAGTTGAAACAACCTAGTTCTAGTGATGGCGAGGTGGCCCGCAGAGCTCTCTCTGAAAGTGGGCGTGCCATCAGCATCTGCTTTTCTGGATCCTGGCACATGCATGCGCACTGGCCAGCTGGTCTTCGGGTTTCCAGCGCTCCAGTGCATGCCTTCTGCACACAAGCATGTACTAGTTTGGGCACTCGTGCCAAAAAGGTTTGCCATCACTGACCTAGTTAGTTAATGTAGAACACAGTAGTAGGACATATGAGTTGAATTTGTGAAGCATAATTCCCGTGTTAGTACTATAGTATTTCTAGACATTTGCTCAAATTTTGTATTGCAAAAGAATGCTAAAGTGTTTGGGTTGAAACATTTGATAAGATCCAGGCTGACTAGAAGGAATATTTTACAGCAAGCTTTGCAGATGATTTGTAAAACAATCAAATCTTTTGAAGCTTTTCTGGGGAGGTAGGAGTGCAGGACAGTATTTGCTTATCTACCTTCCTCACAGTCTTTCATATTATTTCTTGTATTCTGAGATTTCAGTGTTGATTTTCGGGACTTAAAGAATAGATCATATAAGACTGTCTTTGTCCAGCATTGTTTCAGATAAATTTAATTTCGATCTACATCTGAGGAATAGTTTTTATTTCTGGTGCTTGCAGAATAATAAACACATTTCTAGTTTGTCTCAACCTGGTAAATAAATTTAACCAGTTCAATTAAAAAAAAATAACTTCACAAAATCTTGGAACTTGAAATATAGCAGTACCATGTATTTTATAAACTGAAACTTACTTTGGCCTTTGTATAATGTCCAAGGCACTGAAATTCAAGTTGGTGAGGCTAGATAAAAAACTAAATTCAATTTAATTTGAAATTAAGTTGAATACAGAGTATTATTTCCTATTTATTTTATTCCTTTTTTCTGTACATTCAAATTTACAATTTATAGTCTAATGTTTGGAGGCACTCTGGGGTTGTATCCCAGATTTTGATAGATACATGTAACAGACAAGACATAATAGATAGAAGCAGATAGAAACAAAGTTTCTATAGTATAATATGCCCTGGCAAGTTATATTTAGATCACTCCTATACCCATCCAGAACACTTATTTTTTTCCCTATTCTGGGTAATGTACTTGAGAATCGCTTGAACCAATCTTGATGCTCAGAATGGTGAATTCTGGAGAATACATGGAACATTCTGGGAGAAAAACAGAATGTTCTTTTTCCAGACTAGCACATTTACCAGTAGATTGTCTTTGCTACTTTTTGTGTATGTAAGTGATATATAACCTTGGATAGATCTCTCTAAAAAGTCAAGTTGAATAACGTAGCAAGACATTTTGTTGTAATGAATATACTTTTATCTCAAATCTTCTCTGTTTTTGAATATGCTAACTGGGTCTCATGGGAGTTAAATGTTCAAAGCAGCTGGAAGCACTAAATTGCCTGTCTCTGCTCTATAAGGTTTGAGCCATAGAGGCCAATGTGTTCTTTTTTTTTTCTTACTAGCATTTTTGAAATTGTTTTCATTTCCTAGAATTATATGTGTCTTCATTTTATTATGAATTCTGAGCAGCCAATGTACCTATTATCCCAAAACAAAACAATAAAAATAGACAAAACAAAACAAGTATCATAAAAAAGATTGTTGTTATTATTGCTGAATCATTGAGTACTTAATCCCTTGAGTGGAGGGGGAGACATTCTTTTATTAACATTTGTATGAAGTATTGGGAGGCAAAAATGTTTCCCTCTCCAAAAGCAACAACCTTGATTATCCAGTGATATTTCCCATACGAATCTAATTGTGAAAATTAGATTTGAGTATGGGAAGGTTTTTGGTTTTATTTGTTTTGGTTTTTGCTAAAAGCATCAAAATTGCTTTTTAGATTCAGAAACACGGTGCTAACATGGTTATATCCCCCCAAAGTATTATCAATATCAGAATTTATAATTTGGTCATGGCACGATTTGAAACTAATCTGTATGTTTCCTCTTTGCGTTATCTGCCCATACACTTACATTACTTAAATGTATACATACAGTTGAAAGTAATGTAGAACACTGTGTATGGATATTTTGACATTTAAAGTAGTGGCATTAGCTCTAATTTGATGAGTGATTTGTCTCAGCAATAATATTTCAGGCTTCAACTTGAAATAAATTAGCGTGCATTAAAGATTCTGCAAAATAACGATATGAATTAATTGAATCTCCATTTCTTGCTTTCTTGCAATATGTCAGTGAGACTTTCTTATGGGGAGCCTGGCCTTACAAATATGTTTTATTTGTAAAAAAAAAAGACAATGTGTGATCTGTGCCATTTGAAATTTAGGGTTCAATTATGTAGCTGTTTGAAGTAAGAATGGGCTACACAAGCATTTCAAGGTTCCTTGTTCGCCCTTGATCAATAAAATAAAATAAAATATTAAATGGTGTAAATGGTACATAATGCAGTATTGGTTAGTACAAAATTTGAATGCTGAATAGTTTGCTCTA